CTACACGCAGCAGGTTGGGGAAGAGATACCCCCAGGGGAGGTACGATCGAAGACGAAGAGGGCGGGTATCGAGGCTTTGGGATACTTACGCCCCGCGCGCGGCGTCGACGTCAGCGCTGCACTGTGCGGGGCGCCCGCTACAGAGGACATCCCCAGCGTATCGCAAGTCTATGCCCAAGTTCTGACAGTGGCTCCTCCCGTCGCAGGGTTGACCCTCGCCAGCCTCCAGCTGAAACCCTGAGACTGAGGCCCGCTAGTGATTGCTCAGCGTCGCGCTCATTCTGCGCAGCCTGGGCTCGAGACCGCGCGGTCTCGCTTTCACTTGTCGCCATGTCAGAGGATCGTGCGCGCCGAAGCCCTGTCGCCGCCGGGATGCGGGCCATCTGGGCTCCGCGCCCGCTGCTCCCGTGGCCCGTGCTGCTGGATGGGGCCCGCCTCAGCTGCGACCGCCTGTGGGCGTGGCGGCCATGCGTCGATTACGGTACTCTCACCTGGCTCGCCTGCCCCGGCTGCCGCACCTCCCATGTTCATCTCCCACAGGCGGGCCCCGCTCTCTGCGGTTACTGTTTCAAGGAGGGGATGTGCCACCAGTGTTGCGGTTGGCCGTGGGTGCAGCCTGCGCAGCGTGGCACCACTTACCCACTAACCAGCTCGCTCGAGGGTGCTCTTCGCCTACCTCTGCGCCAGTGGCCGTCTCGGCGGCGCTGCCCCACTCAAGGGCAGCGCGACGTCCGCGGCGTCATCCCTTCCCCGTTCTCCCACGACATGTACCAGTCCGACGTGGCCTCGCACGACCCGTCCCAGCCATGCGCAGTCTGTCCGCCTAATCCCCCGCCCCCCCGCAGCTGGGCCCCCTTCGATATGGAGAGCCCCGCGGCTTCGTCCAGGTTCATGCTCTCGTGTCCGCGCTGCCAGGCTTGCAGGACCATTCTTGAGCACCGCCCGCCCAGCGCGCTCGGAGTCTGCCCCAACTGTGGCGACCCCTGCCTGGGGCCCTCGGCCACTGGCGGGATCGCCACGGCCGTCAATGGACCCCCCCAACTCTGACGGTACCGCCCTGGATGAGCCCAGCCCGCCTCCCACAGTCGCGCAGACCGACCGCCTGCCTCCCGTTCTCCGGGTCGTTGCGCGCCTCCGCTGTCAGTGCGGCGCTTTCGCCATGACACCTCCACACTGCGCCCAGCCTCACGCGCTGGGGCGCCTGCCTTTCCTGCCGTTCGCCCCTGGCTCCCACGGGCCCAGTGTCCCCCTCCTTTGGGGGACCTTGTTCGACGCCAGCTTGCTGTAGCCTCCTCACGAGAGCATTGGAGCCGCATGCGCTGCCCGCCCCAGCGCCCAGAGGAGGGCAGTCCACCGGGCCTCCGCAATTTCGGCCGCGCCACGCCAGCGACCACCTGGCCGACGCGGGCGCGAGTCTCCTCGGCCGCCCGGCTGGCTTCGGCCCCGAGGCCGTACGCCCCTCGGGCCGCCAGGGCTCCCCGCAGCCCCTCGGCCCCCACGCGACGCCCTCGGCGCGGGGCCACAGCGACCCGCCCTCGCCTCCCGACCGCAGCGCCACCTACAGCTTCGACGGCGTCAACTGGTTGCACGCCACCGACGATCCTTTTCGCGCCGGACGACGGTGACGGTGCCAACGACGAGGACCGACAGCACAACTTGGTCATCACCCCGCTCGGCTCCTCCCGTCCGCCGGCGGGCGCGTCCGCTGGCCCGAGCAGGGCTGAGATCGAGAATGCCTTCCGCATGGTTTTCAACGAGTGGCCGGAGTCCGCCGCTTCGCCCCTGCTGCCTCGAGCGCGGATCTGCCCGCTCCTGGCGCGTGGCGTCGGGTTCGTTTCTCTGTTGATTCCTTGGGCTGGCTGGCCGCCCGCCCCAGACGCCCTCGCGGGTCTGCCGTTTCACCCTGGCTTTAAGTCGGGCTTGTCCCTCTACAGGAGGAATATTCAAAAATAGTAAAAATAGTCAGGGGACTATTTTTTGGGGCATTTTTAAGACAATTTTGGAGCATATTTCTGGTACTTTTAATTTTTCGTTGTCCTGGTCTTGCCAGGCCTGCGGCCGCCTCGCCCCGCGCGGTCCGCTGGGTGCCCCTCGGCGTCGACCTCGCGCTCTGCCTGCCCTGCTGCCGCGACGCGCCTCGCACCGGCTGCCTCGGGCGCGGCTCTGCCCGCCCTCGGTGTGCGGCGCTGTGCTGGTGCGCCCTCTGGGGTGCTCGCCCGCCGCTCCACCGCCCCTCTTTTTCTTCTTGCGCTTGCCTCGGCTCGATCCGCTGGGGCCCTCTCGGCGCCGAGCGCCGTCTCGGCTTGCTCCCGCCTCGGGGGCCCGCCCCCCTGCCCCCCCCCTGGCGGCCCGCTGCTCTCTCTGGGCGGTGTCCGCGCTCTCGGCGCTCGCGCCTCCCCCAGCAGCTCGGCCCCCTCTCCCGGCGGCCCGCCGCGCTTTCCGCGGCCCTGCGGCCGCCCCCCTCCCCGTCTGCTGACGGGGGCGCTCGCCCTCTCGGGCTCCGCTCTGGCTCTGGCCCCCGGGCCGTCTCTGCCCGCCCTGCCGGCGCGGCCGCCTCGCCCCGCTCCGCCCCGCCCCGCCCGCCCCTCCCTGGCTGCTGGGCTCGCCGCTTCGGCCCCGCTGCCGCGGGCCGCTGTTCTTCGCCCGCCCTTCCCCCGCGGCGGACTCCTCTGCTCGCCGCCCCGCCCGCCTCCGCCGCCCCGCTCGCTGCCCCGCTGCCGCCGGGCCGCTCGCTCGCTGCCCCGCCGCCCTGCCCCGCTCGCCGCCCCGCTCGCTGCTCGCTGCCCCGCCGCGTTGCCCCGCTCGCCGCCCCGCTCGCTGCTCGCTGCCCCGCCGCCCTGCCCGCTCGCTGCCCTGCCCCTCCTCCGCCCATGCCCCGCTCGCTGCCCCGCCGCCCTGCGGCCGCTGCCCGCTGCCTGCCCCGCTGCCGCCGGGCCGCCGCCTCGTGAGCGGCCGGCCGCGTGCGTGCGTGCGTGCGTGCGTGCGTGCGTGCGCGCGTGCGCGCGCGCGTGCGTGCGTGCGCGCGTGTGTGCGTGAATGTATGTGAGTGTGTGGGCGCGTGCGTGAATGTATGTGTGTGTGTGTGTGTGTGTGTGTTGCCATCGGCTTCTACGTAGGATCAAACAGATGTCCGCGAGGAATCATTCTTCGGGGGTCGCTAGCTCCCGTCCTGGAGGCCTTCCCAGGGCCGACGCCTAAAACACGCGTGTCGTTTCGTTGATCTTGGTTCTCCAAGCCGAATCGTTTTTTCCCCAACCATCATGTGGTGTTGGGTCTTCATTTTGTAAACAACGGTCCCCGCGTTCTCCTCCTCTTCCTCCTCCTCCCCCTCCTCCTTCCTCCACCATCATCATCGCCCGTTTCAGCACACCCCTCCCACGTTTCGTGGCCCACTAAAGAGCTCCACCGAAGGCCCCAGTGCCACCGTCCACATGCGTCCCCCGCACCCATTTCGGCACACCTCTCCCACGTTTCGTGGCCCCATAGGGAGCTCCACCGAAGGCCCCAGTGCCACCGTCCACATGCGTCCCCCGCACCCATTTCGGCACACCCCTTACACGTTTCGTGGCCCCATAGGGAGCTCCACCGAAGGCCCCAGTGCCACCGTCCACATGCGTCTCCCGCATCCATTTCGGCACACCCCTACCACGCTTCGTGGTCTCATAGGGAGCTCCACAGAAGTCCCCAGTGCCGTCGTCCACATGCGTCCCCCGCACCCATTTCGGCACACCCCTCACACGTTTCGTGGCCCCAAAGGGAGCTCCACCGAAGGCCCCAGTGCCACCGTCCACGTGCGTCCCCGGCACCCAATTCGGCACACCCCTCCCACGTTTCGTGGTCTCATAGGGAGCTCCACCGAAGGCCCCAGTGCCACCGTCCACATGCGGCTCCCGCACCCATTTCGGCACTCATAGGGAGCTCCACAGAGGGCCCAGTGCCACCGTCCACATGCGTCCCTCACACCCATTTCGGCACACCACTCACACGTTTCGTGTTACCATAGGGAGCGCCACCGAATAAGATATTCACAATTGTGTCACGCACAACTTCACATGGTTGGGTCTTTCGCCAAGCTAATTTTGGTATGGCGATTATGGCTCGGCGCTGAATCAGTGACGTACGTCTTTAGCTGTTTTGCAGAAACATCGGTTTCGTGTTTTGCAATTGGTACAGTGCCAAAGCATTTTTGGCGCTAAGTCCAAAGATAATCGTGTCCTCATGGCCCCCTAAACGATACGCACAGCAACGGTGGGATCCACTATGTGTGGATGCATGTGAGTGTGCAGCCCACTGCGCGCGGATCCCAATGTGTGTAACCCGTGAGCATCTGCTCCAAGTGTTTCGGATCCAAGTCTTAGGGGGCTGTGGAGCCACCAGAACATGTGCATAATAAGTGCGGGAGACAGCCCATCGAGGTCCAAGCCGCAGTGGTCCATGCCATAGGGGTACAACAAGCCGCTGGAATAAGTGTCGGAAAAGTCCAAACCACAGGGCCCAAGCTCACCCGAAGAAATGCGAGAGACAGACCATAGGGGTCCGTATGACATGTGGGTCCAGAACATAACGGGGAGCCATGGGAATCCACGGGGCTAAGCCGTAATGTTCCAAGCTGCTACCGCGGAAGCAGTCGGGGGATTTTCGTTTGAAAATACTGTTTTCTTTTCCTGTTGGGCTTCCTTTTGCAAGTAGACATACATGTAGCTCTCCAATGCCCAGGCTGTGGCATGTCCATCATGCTCTGACAAGTCTAGTTCTCTCTGACCGGACCCGCAGGGTCCCAGGCCTCCAAGTCCACAAAGTGCAGCAGCGGAGTTTGTTCTCGACGTCCCCGATCTCCCAAGTCTACAGGTTTTGGCCTTTGAACAGAGTCGGGCGCGAGCGCTTTTGCGAAACCAGCCCAAGTCTCTTTGTCAGAGTATCAAATACTACAGAGATCCAACCTTCCCGTCGGCGGGGCCTTTGACAAAATGCACCAGTCGAGAAAGCATCCATCCAACGAGGACCTGATGTTCCTCGACCTGGATAAGCAGAAGCGCATGGACGCCATCCAAAGGACACTGGCGATTTCGCGATGAATTGTGGCCGCCACGTGAGGCCAGCCTCCAGGCGAATGTTCCCCATCATGTGCCGACCGTGCGGGCGAGCTCTCTGGTGCAGACTGCCACAAAGCCGAGATTAACGGGGAAGGGAAGGATGATGATGAAGGTGCGAAGGCCATGTGAGGCGTGAGGCGTTCCAGAAAGGCCCTCGACTTCTCGGATCGAATGAGTTGCCATCCCGTCCTCGGCGGAAGGTGGCGGAAGGTTGGCGGAATGCGGCGGGAGTAAAACGAGGCGACCTCCGCCGGCGGAAACCAGCAGAAGGCCGACGGCAGCCGGTGGAAGTAAAAGATGCGCCCCAAAGAGATGGTAAGATTTTTGGATTCAGGGTTTCCGGACCCCGCCAGGTGAACGGCTGCTCTGCCCTTCCTCCGTCCCGTTTTCGTGGCACTGGCAGTTCCTATAGACCCCTCCAGGGCCAGCGGATTTCGTCCTGTTTCCCGAGTGTGCATGACATTCCGAGGGGATGCCAGGATTGTAGCAGCCGTTAGTCGGCGCTCGGCGCGCGTTGTCGATGAGGATGATGACATCAGGGAGGACGGGGACGATAATGCGAGTGGGGAACAGTCGCAGGTGGACATCTGTCTCTACCTCGTGCTCTCCTGCTCCCATCCCATGGGTGGCTGTCGGATCTTGTTCCCGCCATTGCGACCCTGTCTAGGTCCCAGGCTGTGAGAACGTCTTGCACACACTGTAACCATCCAACGTCACCTTCTCTCCCTTCCCGCCGCCTCGCCGACGCTGGCTCGCCTCCTTCTCCGCCTCCTCCTTTCCCCTCTCCTTCTTTTCCTCCTCCAGGTAGGGAAGCTGTGGAAGCTGGGCGATACGACAACGTAGGTCGACTCCGAAGGGTGCAACTTGACGAGAAGGTGCTTTGGGATGGGCTTGGCGCCGGCCCACTCGCGGCCACCTTCGTTGAGGTGATGTGCGTGCGTGTGTGTGTGTGTGTGTGTCTCTGATTGTGCTGGGGTGAAAGAATCAGCCGCCTCTGGAGCAACGCAGGTCCTGATACTGCGGACACCGCTGCGCCGGCCCTAAGATTGCGTGCCAGCTACGTGGGTCAAGGAGAGCAAGAATTGCCAAAACTGTGAAATGAACCCATTGTGCGAGGGAGTTGAACCCTCCTCCACGGCGAAAACTGGCCGCCTTCTAGTCCCCAGCGCCCTGAATCGAGCTCCATTAGAGCGCACCCTTCGCAATAGGAGAAGGAGGAGGAGTAGGAAGGGGAGGAGGAGGAGGAGTAGGAAGTGGAGGAGGAGGAGGAGGAGGAGCAGGAGGAGGATGATGATGGAAGTAGTGACGGTGATCAAACGTTTTATTGTTGTTGAGCTCTCGCTTCTGCGTTCAGTTGGTCCACTCTGTGTAGGGCGCATGGTGTGTTTCCATTTTTGGTGCCCCCCTGCCCCTTCTGTTATAAGGGAAGTGTTGTGGCTCGAACTGCGAAGTTGGCCCCTGGGCTACAACAACAGGAACAACACTAATGATAAACACAATGAGACTGATACAACTACTACACATACTCTTATCAATAATCGTAATACTGATACGAATAATAATGCTAACACTCATACTAACAACAGCAGCAACAGCAACAGCAACAGCATCAACAATATTTTAACACTGTTCGCTCCTATCTGTTCGCGTGCCATTCAATGCGCATATCCCAATTCCTCGGTACCCGCCCTCTTCGTCTTCGATCGTACCCCCTTGGGGGTATACCTTCTTTACCTGCCACGTGCATTTAGCGCAGCCCCTAAAACAGGGGAAGAGAGGACGGATGGAAGCGGGAGGGAGAAGGATGGAGCACGAGATATTAGCAGGATGGGGGGCTAGGAACAGAAATACGTGGCAGAGCCAGACGGGCAGATCGGGCGGGTGGATCCTAGCAGGCGGGTCTGGAATGCGGGCCCAGGCGGCGGGGTCGAGCAGGCGGATTGCTGAAGCATGAGTCCTGCATGAATCGCGAGGAAGTTGCGAACGATAGCGAGAGTATGATTTTTGAGTGTCGAGGGCGCGGCGTTTGAACCAATCGCGAGGAGTCCCACGCGAGAGCACGATTCCTGCATACACTGTGAGGAGATTCCGCACAAGAGCGCGATGTTGGAATACGTTGTGAGGAAGTATCAGGCGGGAATTGTTGAACTCTCACGACTGAAGAATCAGTATTGTTGATCCCCCCTCCGGTGCACACTGTATTTTTCAATTGAATGGCCCCTCCCTGCGCTCGCACCCTGTTTTTATCAGGGGAAGTCTTCCTCCTCAAACTGCGTTGTTGGCCCCTGGGTTGCAGCAACAACGGCTCCCGCTCAAGACTTCCTCACAATTTAGCCAGGACCCCCGCTCCCGCCCGAGACTTCTTCGCATTTTATGCAGGAAGCGCGCTCTCGCTCAGGATTTCCTTACAATTTATACAGGAATCGCTCTCCCGGCGCTCTGGAGTCGCGCTCTCGCTGGAGACTTGCTTGCAATTTACCGAAGAATAGCGCCCTTGCGTTGGAATTTCCTAGCAATTTACTCAAGCGCCGCGCTCCCGACACTCAGGCACCCAGGAGTCGCGCTCTCGCTTAGGATTCCCTCACAGATGACTTAGGAATCGAGATCTCGCCGCCCTTCGTGGCCCCGTTGCAGCCCTTCGTGGCCCCCTCGCTGCCCTTCGTGGACCCGCTGCAGCCCTTCGTGGCCCCCTCGTTGCCCTTCGCGGCCCCGTTGCAGCCCCTCGTGGCCCCCTCGCTGCCCTTCGTGGCCCCGTTGCAGCCCTTCGTGGCCCACTCGCTGCCCGTCGTGGCCCCTTTGCAGCCCTTCGTGGCCCCCTCGCTGCCCTTCGTGGCCCCATTGCAGCCCCTCGTGGCCCCCTCGCTGCCTTTCGTGGCCCCGTTGCAGCCCCTCGTGGCCCCCTCGCTGCCCTTCGTGGCCCCATCAAAGCCCCCCGTAGCCCCCTCGCTGCCCTTCGTGGCCCACTTTCTGCGCTCAGTGGCCCCGCTGTCGCCCTTTCTGGCCCCATATATGTATGCCCTTCGTGCCCCCCGCTCGCTCGCGCCCGTCGTGGCCCCATATGCATGCCCTTCGTGGCCCTGCTGTCGCCCTTCGTGGCCCCCTCGCTGCTCTTCATGGCCCCGTTGCTGCCCTCAATGGCTCCGTCCTTGCCCTCCGCGACCCAATATACGTATGCCCTTCGTGGCCCCCGCTCGTTGGCGCCCGTCGTGGCCCCATGTGCATGCCCTTTGTGGCCCCGCTGTCGCCCTTCGTGGCCCCCTCTCTGTCCTACGTGGCCCAGGTGCTACCCTCAGTGGCCCCGTCGTTGCCTTCTGTGGCCCTGCATTATCTGCCCTTTGTGGCCCCCGGTCGGTCGCGCTCTTCGTGACCCCATACGCATTCCCTTCGTGTCCCCACTGTCGCCCTTCGTGGCCTACTTCGTGCCCTTCGTGGCCCTGCAGTCGTTCTCGCTCTCGCTTTCGCTTTCGCTCGTCGTCGTCGTCGTCGTCGCCGCCGTCGTCGTCGTCGACGTCGTCGTCGTCGTAGTCGTCGTCGTGGTCGGTCCCCTATCCGTCCCTCTTGCGGTCAGGTTGCTGCCGATCAGCGCTGCCGCTGGCCAGACCGACGGTCCGCGGCCGCCCCGCCGCTTGCTGGGCCCTGGCCTGCATGAAATAAAGGTGTCCCCCCCCAAAACCGGTACGATCGAAGACGAAGAGGGCGGCTATCGAGGGTTTGGGAAATACGCGTTGACGGACACTCGAGCAGATTTGAGCGAACAGTTTTAAACTGATTATTGTTGTTTTTGTTTTTGTTACTTTTATTGTTGTCGTTGTTGACCTTTCACTTCTGAAGAATGATTTTTGTTGATCCCCCCCGTCCGGTGCACATTGTTTTTTCGATTGAAGTGCCCTTCCCGGGGCTCGCACCTTGTTTGTTATCAAGGAAAAGCTTGAGGGTCAATCTGCGTTGTTGGCTCCCGGTTTACAACAGCAGCGGCTCCCGACTGATGCTTCCTCACAATGTTTTGAAGAATCGCGCTCTCGCTTGGGAGTTCCTTGCAATTTACCACTGGATCGCGGCTCCTGCTTGATATTTCCTAACAATTCCTTGGAGAATCGCGCTCTCGCTTGGGACGCCCTCGCATCTCACCATCGAATCGCGGCTCCCGCCGGATACTTCCTCACAATTATTCAGATGCCGCTCCTCGACACGCAAGAATCGCGCTCCCGCTTCATACTGCATGGCGTTTCAAGCAGAATTGACGCTTCAACGACCCGCCCGCTCGACCCGCCCGTCTGGGCCTGCCCGCCCGACCAGCCCGTTAGGGACTGCAGTCGCCGCTCGCTGCCCTTCGCCCGCCTTCGATGTCCCTCGCTGCCCGTACTGGTTCCGCGGTCGCCTTCGCTCGCTGCCCTTCGTGGCCCCGTTGCTGCCTTCAGTGGCCCCGTCGCTGCCCATTGTGGCCCCGCATTAAATGCCTTTCGTGGCCCCCGCTCGCTCGCGCCCGTTGTGGGCCCATACGCATGCCCTTCGTAGCCCCGCTGTCGCCCTTTGTGGCCCCCTCGCTGCCCTTCGTGGCCCCGGTGCTGCCCTCAGCGGCCCCGTCGCTGCCCTCTGTGGCCCCGCATTATATGCCCTTCGTGGCCCCCGCTCGCTCGCTGCCCTTCGTGGCCCCATACGCATGCGTTTCGTCGCCCCGCTATCGCCATTCGTGACCCCCTCGCTGCCCTTCGTGGCCCACTTTCTGCGCTCAGTGGCCCCGCTGTCGCCCTTTCTGGCCCCATATATGTATGCCCTTCGTGGCCCCCGCTCGTTCGCGCCCGTCGTGGCCCCATATGCATGCCCTTCGTGGCCCCGCTGTCGCCCCTCGTGGCCCCCTCTCGGCCCTTCGTGGCTTCGTTTCTGCCCTCAGCGGCTCCGTCGCTGCCCTCTGCGGCCCCTTATACGCATGCCCTTCGGGGCCCCCGCTCGTTCGCGCCCT